GAGTCATTCAGAGTAGATCTAATTTTCTAGTATCTTCTGTCTGCAGATGGAAACTACACAGTTCTTTGTAGTAAGTTTCTAAGCACACGTCTAAATTAGCAGCGCAACAAGAGAAGCATGGGTGCTTCTTAGCGGGTTCAGACCATACACCACACGTCCTCCCTCCCTTCCTGTTGAACAATATTATCGGAGGACCTACAGTGGAACAGGCACTTGTTCCTAGGTGCTGAGGATAGCAGGGTCACACAAGACAGCGAGATCCTTGGAGTTCACATTCTGATGGAAAAGTGCGTAGCATGGAAGCTTAAATAAAAAATGGGTTTTAGTGATGCTGTGATGTTACATGGAGATAGCATTCATCATAGTAGACAGTGCCGGGTTTGGGGCTGGACTGTTCAGTGGCATGAAGGCCTCACTGAGGAAGGAACTTAGCCCATTTCTTCCCCACTTTCTGCATTTTCGTCCCACCCTCCTGAATCCCTGAGGTGCCTTTTTCCCAGCTGGAAGTGTCCCTTGCCTCAGAGAGCAACCGACAGCTTCCTGAGCTGGGGGAGAAACCAATCACACCCCTTTGGGAAGGGACACTTGGTAAAGCACTTTCAAGATCCAGGTTTCTAGAACAAGGTTTTGCGGTACGTGGATTAACAGGTCTGCAGCCAATCTGGAGTCTGTCCCGCAGCGAGCACCCGGAGAAGACGTCAGCACCGTGTTAAGGCTCTGAGCGGAGAAGGCGGATCGATCGCCCCTGGTTAGCAATCACAGGCTCTGCCCCACACAACACACTTGTTGACCCAACTATCACTTCGCTAATTCACGGAAGGGCGGAGCCATTTAGCCCCACTGTGCTCTACATCCAGTCACCCAGAAGTGGCCTAGGGAGAGGCTTTTCATGGTCTGACACTTTGACACAAAGCCGTGTGACAACGGCCTGTCAGTGATGCCTCCCAAACCAGCAACCGCCCACCCTGGCTCCCAAGAGCAATCTGCCACCCATTCACCTCCGACTGCGGCTCTGTCAGCAAGCGTCCTGCCTTGTCCATACGAACACCGGCATCTTCCTTAAAGGCTGGTTAGAAAACTCCACCTGCTTCCAAAGAACGCTGGAGCGAGATTCCCTTCGCCTCACCGTGCCACAGGAATGTGAATAATCCCATTTAAGAAGATGCTTGATTAAGTTTTTACTTTTTTGTTTTTTTTTTTGAAACAGAGTCTCTCTTTGTTGCCCAGGATAGAGTGAGTGCCATGGCGTCAGCCACCCTCACAGCAACCTCAAACTCCTGGGCTCAAGCAATCCTTCTGACTCATCCTCCCGAGTAGCTGGGACTACAGGCATGCGCCACAATGCCCGGCTGATTTTTTCCATATATATCAGTTGGCCAATTAATTTCTTTCTATTTATAGTAGAGACGGGGTCTCACTGTTGCTCAGGCTGGTTTTGAACTCCTGACCTCGAGCAATCCACCCGCCTTGGCCTCCCAGAGTGCTAGGGTTACAGGCGTGAGCCATTGGGCCCGGCCTGATTAAGTTTTTAGAACCTAAATCAATCTGGTCATTCCTCAACCCCTCGGAGAGATACCTGGCTCCCAAGAGCAACTCTGCCACCCATTCACCCCCTCGCGCTGGGACTCTGTCAGCAGCGTCCTGCCTTGTCCATACAACACCGGGCATCTTCCTCTAAAGGCTGGTTAGAAAACTTCCACCTGCTTCCAACAGAAACGCTGGAGCAGATTCCCATTTCGCTCTACATGCCACAGGAATGTGAATAATCCCATTTAAGAAGATGCTTGATTAAGTTTTTTACTTTTTTTGTTTTTTTTTTTTGAAACGAGTCTCTCTTTGTTGCCCAGGATAGAGTGAGTGCCATGGCGTCAGCCCACCCTCACAGCAACCTCAAACTCCTGGGCTCAAGCAATCTTCTGACTCATCCTCCCGGAGTACTGGGACTACAGGCATGCGCCACCATGCCCCGCTGATTTTTTCCATATATATCAGTTGGCCATTATTTTTCTTTCTATTATAGTAGAGACGGGTCTCGCTGTTGCTCAGGCTGGTTTGAAACTCCTGACCTCGAGCAATCCACCCCCCTTGGCCTCCCAGAGTGCTAGGGTTACAGGCGTGAGCCATTGCGCCCGCCTGATTAAGTTTTTAGAACCTAAATCAATCTGGTCATTCCTCAACCCCTCGAGGAGGGCCTGTCACGAGATGGAAACGTTTCTGTCTCAACTATTGTCCTAGAGAGGAGCCTGGCGTGGCTGGTTCCAAACACGCAGAGGAGGGTTCCCCTAGGAAATGGTAACAGCAATTCTCACAGATGAAGTCCCTTAGGTCAGCTCAGACCCTGTGACCCCAGGGGACACAAGCTCCAGGAGACAGCTGGCCTCTGACAAAAGCTGGTGTCCCCAAGGCAGAGAGAAGAAAGGACCTGTATCCGGGTCATTGTATGATTCATCCTCCCAGCTGCCCAAACTTGAGGAAGGAAGGACCCAAGAACGAAAATCATTGAGCAGGTTCTTATATGAAAAGTGTGTGAACACGTCATTTAACCGGTCGGTGGGCAAACCCCTCTCCATCGCTCCTTCCAGCTGCTAAGCCGCACCCTCCACAGGAAGCAGCCAGCTCTGAGACAGGAGCCTCAGACATTGCAGTTGCCCTTGCCTGTCCCCCAAAGCCAAGCCAAGACAGAGCACGTGGCTTCAGGGTGGCACCCAGTGTGTCAGAGTCCCCGTCACCACGTCGAAGGGAAGGAAAGGTCTTGCTTTAAGGCCAGCACTGGGTACCTCGAAAACTGGCGTGTACGCCAACAGACGAGAATTCCCTGGCTAGGTTCTACCAAAGGAATATATCCCCGCCGAGGGCACCTGGCGTGATCTGGCATATATGAACATCTGAGTGGTTTCCCTCCATTACTGCTGAGGTGGAACTAAGGGGCCTATAAAGTGTGAAATGAGAAATGGACACAGTGTGGCTTACTGCTAATTACCGCTCAGGGGAGGAGGCTGGCCCTCCACGTTCAGCTCCTGAGATCGGAATCTGATTAGCAGCTATTTTCAGACTACATTATAAAGTCTGCTCCAGATGCTTCTAAATAAGGAGAATGCTATGGGCTGCCACCCTTCTTCTCCCCCTGTTAATCATTTCAAGGATCTGTGTTGTGTACACAAGGTGACTATCGAGCAATTAAACCATTAAGGTTATTTTTCAAATTGAAAAGATTTAGCTGAACTTTAGAGAGATCCTCTTTCCCCACCATCCCCTCACTCCATTTAATTTAAGGAGCTGAGTTCAGTCTATTAAAGGTATAAATAAGTAAGTTACTAAATAGTCTGGTGATAAAAACTAGGGAAATTGTTTTTATTTTTAAAAGATATGTTTGTATTAGAATGATTGTCCTTGATTACAGAACTGGAAACAATCATCGGTCCTGAATTTCCTTTTCCCGAGTGGGAATTCTACCTCTTGATTGCTTCAGAGGTAGAATAACTGTCCTATTCACTTTATCCCACTGCCTAGTTTTCCAACTCTGCCATATTTCTACTAAAAAACCTTGGTGATTCTTTTGTGCTTTTATCTGGGCGGGGTGATTGGGGCAGGCTAAATGGGAGAGAAGAAGGTACAATGGGGAAAATGGAAAAGCATTTAGTGCTTTGTATTCTCG